TTTCTGTGTTTTCCTTTTTGTTTGTTGCATTTTTATCAATTTTATTTTTTTTTTTTTTTTTTTTTTTTACCTTCGTCAGCGAATCTTTAGTTGTAGCGGCGATTTTAATCACCAACGACCAGACCAAACAAAATATTTTGATCAGCGGTTCCATTCTCCTCCTCTCTATGACAGTGTGCCACCACCATTACTGGTGGCGATGAAGCAATAATTCTTTTGTTTATTTGATTAGCAAATTGCTAATTTTCTATTCATTAATTGCTTTTGTGAATCAAATTGTTTCTATATAATTTATTATTTTGTTCAAATCCTTGCTAATTTGCTATGATTGATTTATAATGTAAACCATGGTTTTATTTTTTTGGAATGGGAAAAAACAAAGGAATTTTTTCTTTTATTGGTAAGCAATATATATAGTTTCTTTTCCATTTTGGTTGGATATTTCATTTTCTAGGGATAGGGTGTTGAATACATATGATGTCTTCAAGACACTGCGTGATTGAACATACGAAGAAGGTTTTAATTTTTTGTATTTTTTCTGTATTTTTGCAATTCTGCATTTTTTTTTGTATTTGCTGCATTTTATTTTTTTATATTTATATATTTATAACTTTCCATATCATGCTTTTTTTGCATTTTCCTTATATCTATTTAATTTTATGATATTTTTTGTTATTTATAAATATTATATTATTTTATTTTATTTATGATGTCATGGGTCAAACCATTCAACCCAAACGAATGAATCGCTGAACCAAAAAATGGTGGCCAGAATCGGATTCAGGTTTCAAAACCTTGTTTCAAACAATAACTCTAAATTAAATTATTCATTTAAAGTTTTAATGTTTTACTATTAATCTTGTTAAAAAAGAAGAATTTATTTTGACCAGATTTCTAGGGTTTAGGGGTTCAGATTAGGCTGGTTAATAAAGTATTGTGTTAGAGCAATATGAGACCCAAACCAATTTACTACGTAAAAGATTCCTTGGTTGTTCAACTTAATTACATGACTTTGGGGCTTTTCTACAACTATATATACATAAATTGACTGCCAGGGTAGTGGTGGTGGTGCAGGATCGAAGAGAGAGTAGAGAGACAAGAGGGAGAGGAGGAGAGAAAAGGAAATGTAATAGCTGAGGGAAAAGAGAGAGACATGTTTGGACAAAAAGGTGATGGGAAAATGAGGGGGCTAACCGTAGGGGTTTGGAAAATCGGTAATTGAAATTGATCCAAGTTAATCGATTGATCGGTTTGGTTAATTGTCGGTTTAGTTCGTTAGTTTTTTGGTTTTTAAAATTTTATAATATATATTATAAATATATATATAAATATATAAAATAATAAATAATATATCATATATTATAAATATATATAATATATATAATGCATATTTATTAATTTATAATATATAAAAATATAATATATATATATATATATATATAATATACATAAATATATATAACATATAGAAATATATCTATACTGGTCGGTTCAACTAACTAACGGTTTTCTATATTGACTAACCAAAACTAAACCAATCGATCGAGTTTTCAGTTCAATTTCGAGCGATTCAATTTTTCAATTGTTTTTACTTACCCCTAAGGGGGAGAGATGGGAGAGGGGAGATAGAGGATATAGGTTTTTCTCCTAGAAAATGGGTCTATTGCATATTGTTAACAGTTCTTCTTGGGTCCTCATGTGGATGGATATAGGGCCCTTATTTAGGAACGGGATCTGCTCTTCACACTTGGGAGCCTCACATGCATCTCCACCGTGCATTGCTCCCATGAATAATAATTTAAAAGTACGAGAGATGCTCCCAATGCATGGTAGGATGTGTGTGTGAGGCACATGTGAGGCGCCCTCTGTGAGGAGTAAATCTAGTCTCTTGATATAATATCTTCTGAACCTAATACATTTTAAAATTTTCTTTTATTTTGTCTTTACCCATTTTACCCTTTAATTGATATTCTAGAATGTTTTAACACTAAGTTGATGCAAATGGCTTTTAAACAACTGATCAATATATCTGGACCGGTCCAGTTTGATGTGGGTTCATGCATGTTGGGTCACCAGGAAGACATGGGTATAGGAAGAGTTTGACCAATCAAGCAGCCGGTATCATAACAAAAAAAATCAACATGTTCTTGATTCTTGAACCGTGTTTTGTTTAAGAAGAAAATCAAGTTGGTTTTGTTTAAAAAAATAGATTTATGTTTTTTTAAAACATCTAAATGTTGATTTTCAAAACAAAAAACAAATGTTGAATCATAGATATTGTATGATTTATGAAAAGTGATGAGATATATTGTATGATTTAAAACAAAAACATGTTTTTTAAACTAAAAATTCAAACACATTTTTGGTTTCAAGCTTAAAAAACACATTTTATTTTATTTTAAGAAACAGTTTGTTTTCGGTCTGTTTAATTTTATTCTATTTTTTGAACTCACAACAAGAAAAACTGAAAACCATTTCACGCGACCCTAAACGATCCGACCAGCAGACCCGCTCCCAAAATAAATAATTTCCCTCCTTACGAAAGAAAAATCCCTGTACAATCAGGAAAGCTCAATGGGCCGAGCTATTGATTTGAAATGGTATTTCGACCAATTCTGATCATGCCAAGCCCAAACCCAAGTCAAAGCCCATTTCCACCTGGAGAATCCATTTGGAATTGAAGATTCCTATGGGCCAAACGGCCCGAACCATGACCAGAGCGAGATGACTAGATGAGGGAGATGCTTTTCTTTGTCTACTTGTACTTGTTGATTTTGTAGCAGCAGCAGAAGAGAGGACACGTAGCTAACAAAAAATCCATTCAAAATCCAAATCCGCCACAAAACGCTAACCAAACATCTCTCTCTGGTCTCTACCGCTCCCCCTCTCTCCCCCCCATAAACCAGACGAATTGGAAGACAAAAAGATGTGGGCAATATAATATCCTTCTCTTTTCTCTCTCTTTCTCTGTTGCAGGTTTATTCCCATGGCTTCTGCTTCACAAACTATGCTTTCTGCAAACACCCGTGCTTTCCCCTCCCACGGGTTCCTCAAAAAGTTGCAGAAACCAGGGGGGAGTGGCATCTCCTTCAGAATTCGAGCTTCCTCCACCACTAGCTCTGAGGAATCCGACTGCAATGTTGAAGAATGTGCTCCTGACAAGGAGGTGAAGCGGGACTTTTTTTTTCTTCCTAATTACTCTATTTGTTTGTTTGTTTGTTCTTGCCTGTACTGTTTCTGTTTATGAAATCAATTCAGCCATCGTTGTCTTTCTCTCCTTGCTTTTATTCTGAACTGTGAACTTGGTAATGGCTATATATGTCAGAGCTAAGAAAAAACAAGATAGAAAAGAAAAGAACACTGTGATTTTTTATGGGTTCTTAGCATTAGTACTTATGGATTAATAATGGTCTGGAGGGTATTTTTAATATTGTCTGTATCTCAGTTTTCCCTCCTTTAGGTCTTATATGCTCAGATTTGTACAAATTGAGAATTTTTCTGCAGTGATTTGAATTTGTTTAATTGAATTCCTAGTTGACCAACTCCAGCTTCTACCTAGTGAGTTGTTTTGTGGCCTCCATAAAATCAATGATACTGATAATACATGAAATGTTAAAATAAAATTTCAGATGCTAAAAGAATGTTTCAATATTTCATGTAGACCCATTTTAAAATTCACCAAGTCTGAATGATGAACCATTTGAATCCACTTGAAACTCGTCCAAGTCAAATCGGACCACCAGAACCCGAAGGTTTGTTTTTTTATAAAATTTCTCAGTTTGATTCAGGATTGTATATAAACTCTAACTGTATTAAATGGATGATTTAGGCATTCAACATGGAAAATAATGATGATGAATCCATGTTGAATACAGGTTGGCAAGGTCAGTATGGAATGGTTAGCTGGGGAGAAAACGAAAGTGGTCGGGACATACCCACCTCGTAAAAGAGGTTGGACGGGCTACGTTGAGAAGGACACTGCAGGGCAAACAAATATATACTCTGTTGAGGTTAGTATTATCATTTGTTATCTGTTCCTAATCACATAGTAATTGATGAAATAAAATTTAGTTAGAACTATTGGTCTTATAAACCATTGGATTATTAAGGACCATAAACCTAAGGTACAGAAGGAAAGAACCAAATCAGTTTATGGTTTCTTGAGTCCTTGAAAGACTGCTGCATCCAGAACAGAATTTAAAAAAAAATGAAAATCTAAAGCTGGAGTGGCTTTTCAGGCTGATGGTTATTAGAGACTGACTAAGCCAGTTCTTAGGACAATGGTTAGATACCAAGAAACTTATACATTCTGACTAACCCATGATCAGAATGTGATACCTTTTCTTTTCTGTAATGAGCACAGTATAACTCAATCATAAATTGAAAAATGAATGAATCATTCCTAGGAAACTAGCATTGTTTCCAAGAAAATTCTACATGTTTTATTGTGTATGAAGAAACTAACAAGTGAAGGTGCTTAAGAATGTTGCTTATTTTCTGAGAAATTACTTGTATTTCAATCTTCTTTAAAGTTATTCACTCTTCTACATGCAAACACTTTTCAGATAAACTTTAAGAATTTAACTTGGTGTTCAACTAATTCGTATCTGATTACAATAATTTAATTCTGTAAAAGATAAAAAGGGATGCATAATGCTTGTTGGTCGTAGATTTTACCATTGAAACAAGCAGTGGCCCCTGATGTAAAAATTGGCAAATTGGTGTTAAATTGAAATATCTCCAGGGAATAAACTTAGAAGTGTCTTTCCTGCATTCTATTAACATATAATGAAGTCTACATTTCTTGTTCATTGCAAGGTACAAGTTAGTATTTTTTCAGTTACTTTTTTTTTTTTTCTACAGTGCATCTGATGAGGGGCCCTCTTTTTTTTTTTTCCCTAAACAAGAAACATAGATAACAAACTACTCTTTTAATTCTTTTCCATGTAGCAGTCTCAAATTCCACAAGGAAAGATGTTGATATTGGTGAACTCATAATCCAATTTTTGGCTGTTACTCAGTTTTCCATACATCAAGATTTGTGTTGAAGAATGATTTGAACCTTCATTCCCTGAACAGTAAATGTTGTTGCTCCTGAATGACTACCTAACTCAACCAATGGACTACACACACACACACTCATGCACGCACGTGTTCACACACACACATGTATGTATGTATATGTGTATCTATCTATCTATCTATATCTATATATATTTTCAAAGATTTGACGTTTGAAAATCTCCAAAACAAGTCACCCCGTATTGCCACATCACCTTGACTAGTTCTACCCATCGGATCAAGTATAAGTTTCTCTCTAGACAGGATTAACTAGTCCATTGTATTGTCTGGTTGGTCTTATTCTCACTGAGTAGCTACTATTCCAGTGTAGTGAAGGCCTGTTCATAGCTGCCAAAGTGTAACATCATGGGTGCTTGCATAGACAAATTAACTTGAATAGGAAAATAAAACAGTTAAACTTATACAGATAGAAATGTTATTGCAAGAGTGTAGCAAAACACCTTTGTCCACCAATGTTGGTTTTCTCTGTTGGCCATAGGATTGGCCCAAATACCGAGGTTATTCACAATCAAGGGTCTCTGGCAGCTTGGACTAACTAAACTGTAAGCTTCAATATTTTAACTAATACCTTTAGTTTGTATATGATTTGGCAGCCAGCAGTTTATGTGGCAGAGAGTGCAATCAGTTCAGGGAATGCAGGTACCTCTGCTGAAGGAGCAGAAAACACAGCAGCAATCGCTGCTGGTTTGGCCCTTATCTCCATTGCTGCAGCTTCTTCAATACTTCTGCAAGTTGGCAAAAACCAACCTCAGGTGCAGACCACAGAGTATACAGGCCCATCTCTTAGTTATTATATCGACAAGTTTAAGCCACCAGAAATTATTGAAGCTTCATTGCCAGCCAAACCTGAATCTGCTCCAGCTATAGCAGAAAGCTCCACACCAGATGTTCCACAAGTTCAGGTTGAATCAAACAACCAGGCAGAAACTCCCAGTTCGAGTGTAAGCAATATGTCTTGAGCACTTCAATTGAGATTTTGTACTTTGTACTTCATCTTTGTATACTTCTTTGATTATCTAAATGTGATTAAAAGAGGAACTAATGTATAAGAGATCGTCCTTATCAACCCTGCTTGGTTATCAGCCTATGCAGGCAGTTAAATCTATTCAAACCCATATTGTAGAGCCATTTCATTAATCATCAATTGTGTTATTTCTAAGTGTCATTCTGAGGTTCAGGCCAACTACCAAATGCGTTAGACCCAAGACTATAACAGTCTATTCCGTACTCCATGATGAGAATTTCCTTTGTTGTTTTGGAAGCCAATTTCAAGACCGTGCTCACCGAGTGTCTAAGCCTTGTTTTGTTAGCTTCAAGCCCGAAACTTCTAGTTTAAAGACACAGCTCGTAACTATTCTTGTAATATCCACCATCTGGATTAGTTTGAACATCTGAAACCTGAAAGGAAGATAAACTTCTTGATCAAGAATCGATAATTGATTCTTGGATTAGGTTATCAATTTGATTTACTTCTGTAATGGTTATTTTCATCGAGTTGAAAACCAATTGAGCTGATGATACAACAAGAATAGTTAAGAGCTATGCCTCCATCAGAAGCCATTGATGTTCTGGCTCTCTGCCTTATTCTTATAAGGTCAAATTTACCAAATCAGCTACCCAGCTAGTGTGCTTTGCAAGGTTGCAATTGCACCCCGTATGGATGCAGGAGGCTTGTTCATAACATTGGAAGTTTTGATAGAGTAAGACTGATATTTACTCCATGAATTTTTCCTTGGTCTTGAAGCATAATAATACCAAGCAAACATGGAAGCACACTGTACACGTATATATAAGCCTAAGACTTGGTAATGAAAACCCTGCTACTCGCTGTATGAGGAGAGTTGACTATTCATGGCTTCAATTTTTGTGCTCACTAAAAGCCTATCGGTAATCACCTGCCTTCTGAGACTTTACCTTTTTGTGCTCCCAAAGTTACAGTAGTCCATGGCTTGATATGTTATAATTATAAATCAGGCAGGCAAGCAACTGACAAAAGTATACATCTTGAAAAGTTACCCAAAATAAATGAATAAAAACTGACTGATTTGATGAAATCAAGACTGGTTCATCGGTTGGAATGGCAGGTTGGCTGGTTTTCTCAACACTGGTTTTTATGGTTTTCAAAACTGGATCAGACCAGATGGTCGGACCGGAAAACCTGGGAACCGGTCACCGGTTCAACTTTCCCCAAAAATAAGATTTTTCCCCAAAACCGTTGATTCTGGTCAGCGAACCATTGAACCGGGCAGTTAATTGTTCAAACCATTCGAACGATTTTGACCATTTTTTATTTTATTTTTTATTTTTTTGTCAGAATGGGCCGAGCGTTTGATTCAAACGGTTAGACCATTTGACTCGGTAACTGGACCCCTGACCAGTTCGGTCACTGGGTTGGTTTTAAAAACTATGCTGATTTTTAAAGCCTGACTGAACCGTCTAGTGGATCAATTTTTTTTCCAGATAGGACGGTTAGTCCAGTCAACTTCTCTAAATATCAGTCCCTAAGCTTCCATTCAAGGTTAAAACTTCGACATTTTGAAGTTTTATTTGTAAGGTACTCTTTTGTTCTTTTGTTTCACTTTTTTCAGTACAAGGTTTTAGGGTTAATTAAATGGCGATGGGTTTTGCTGATAAAACATAAAACACCTCTCATCTAGGAGTGGAACTCATGCTCACATAAGCTTAGCTCGAGAAAAGCTTGATTCAAGCCAAGCCAATTTGAGCTTTGAGTGGAATTCATGCCTAATATATAGGTTCATTTTCTAATCAAGCTGTGTTTGAGTCCAATGAAATTTGGCTCATGAAACTTGTTAAGCCTAATTAAACATTATAATATACATACATACATATATTGATGGATTCAAAATTGAGTTGAGTCGAGCTCGTATAATCTAACATTTGGCTTGGCTTGGCTTGGCTTGGCTTGGCTTGGCTTAAATCGTATAGTCGAGCTCGTATAGTCCAATCCTTGGATAACCTGCAGCTTAGTTGACTAATAATAAAAGAGCTTACCGAATTGTGTTTTTAGACCTATTATTCCATTAATACAGTACAAGAAGAACAATTTGGAGACCCAGCGATATGAAGTTTGCTGGATTGCTTAGTCATAAGACTATAGTTGTTAGCCCGAGTGGCATACTTCGCAAAGTTTAAAAGTATGATACGTATCATATTGCATGTGCATATCATATTGGATTATGCTAATCACATGGATTATGATGTCAATTATCAGGATAAAAAATTGTTAGGGTCACATCCTGACCACCAATGCTCGCCACATGGATTCCGAAGAGTGTGAAAGCCCCAAAGATCACAGACCTCGGTCTCTCCGATAGAACGACATGCAGAACACGAAACATAGCCCACTGAACTACTATACATGGTTATTTAAAAGCATCTCCCTTTGAGATATCCTCTTTCTTTGAATTTTCCAATTCTCTACCCATCTCGTTCTCTTACTTCCTCAACCCTGCTCGGCTTGGACCAATTCGTCCTAAATAATTGGGTTCGGCCAACCTCTTCACCTATTACTGACTTGAGCATCCAAATGCCTTCCCCGAGAATCCAAGACCTTTGTTTGATTGCAGGTTTTGTTTGAGCATCCAAATGCCTTCCACCTTGGTTCATCCAAATTGGCAAGACTTCATTTGTTGCCCTTCCACCTCGATTCAGACCAGCATAAAAAATAAAAAAGAAAAATCACTATATATATATATATATATATATATTGTGATTGTCAAAATCCCAAACTTGTCCACTCAAAGCAAGGAAGCATCTATGTCTATATCGTCCCAATTTACCCTTCTATTAGGGGCCATTTGATGACGACTTATTGACTGAATCAAATTGCTTATTGGTTCATCTTTCACTGGATAAACACTTAAGTAGGGGGTTGAACTCCTTAATGGTTGAATGGCATATTGGGATGACTACTTTAGGTCCCGTAAGTCCAAAACAATACCTAATTCAATTCAGCTGATTCAACACTTATCAAATGACACCTTAAAATTAATAAATCTGATGGGCCATTTGATAGTGGTTGAAGATGAAGAATAATGAAGTATTCAGCGGGTATGTAATCAACATAAAAAAAAAAACTTAATGGGAAGGAGATATTGAAACAGGATCACTTGCAAGCAAAAACTGTGCAAACAGTCCGAGAGCACAGCATGCGGTTGCATATTGAAAACATCCTCACATGAATTTAGCATACATGTACAGAAGATATTCTTGATGTGTGATTGGATGTCGTGTTCAAATAACTTTTTGCTTTCTAGAGATCCAAGCTCCAAGATATTAGGTGCTTAACAAGTAGCAGATACCGGTACCCTTCAACTCTCTCAGATTACTAAAGCAAATAAAAGGAAACTCCTACAAGGACAATTAAACCAATTATATAGCAACTTCAAACCAATTACACAATTTTGTCTCAGAGCTTAGTGATTTAACTTGTAAGATCAACTGAAAATTTGAACAACTTATATCAGACATTCAGACTAGTATAATTCGTATGACTAAAGGTAAGTATTTGTTGATGATTGGAAGGTTCTAGGTGTAATTGCTGAGATTTCCTCAATATTGTAAAAAACATAAAATTCCAAATAAATACTTACAAGTAGAAATTTTCAATCAAAATAGATATTTGCATGTGATGATTTAATTTGAAGGCATTTGAGCATTTTTCCACTATAACCATCACATATTAGGCTTGTAACACTGCATATTAGTCTGTTTTGATGTATTTCAATCGATGCTTGATTGCTACGGACTGAATTTCAACCATTCCAAACTGTTACACATATTCAACCATTCCAAACTATATTCAACTGTCACGAACAATTACAGATTCATACTCAACCGTTGAGCCATTTTTAACAATTATAAAACCCATACTGAACCATTACAAAATCATGAAAGCCTTTACAAAACCATTATACGCCATTGTTAAGAACTAATACTCAACCATTATAAATTGAGACTATTGGTAGAAAACTATAACTAATCCATGATGAATCATTACAAGCCATACTCAACTGATACAAACTTATACTCAGCCATTGCAAACCATATTAAACTGCTAGAAATTCATAATCAACTATTACAACTTTATTTGAATATTACAAATGATACTCAACCATCACAAACCCCATACTCAGCCACTGGAAGCTAATATTAATTGTTACAAATCCATACACTCAAATTTGAATTTACCCCATTAGCTAGTATTGCTAAAAATTACATACACAAATTCAAATATTATGACTTAATTACAGGTCACCACATGAAAGTGAGATTCTTCCAACAAACCATAGTATTACAATTTGTCAAACGACATGTGCTTTAACTTCAAGGTTCAAAGTATCGATATACAATACTTAAACATTGAGTATTGAGCGTGTCAACTTGTCAATACTCTTTTTGTCCTAAGAAATATTCATCTTTACATGTTTATTTAAAGTATAAACCTATTAAAATGTTACTATCTATATTTAGGGTATCAGTACTTTGAACTTTGCAAACTTTCTAATACACTTTATCAACTTTCTTATTTGTACACAATTAACCAAATTTAAAAAATAAATAAAATAATTTAACATTCATTTAAATTAATAATTTTCTTGATTTAAATATGATTTATTTGAATTTTCCTAGTGTATTTATTTATATCTTAATTTTCCACTTTGTCCATGCATATCCACAATGTATCTGTGTTTACGATACTTTAAATCTTGTACTTGAATAGTAACTCTAAAATTTTACACAATTGAGTAGACACATGGTTTGAAGTATCCATATGTATCAAGCCATCAACCTATGGGCTTTCAAATACATTGCACAGGTGGAACGGCCAAAACACAATCCCATTCCACCCATATCCATGGTATCAACTGATGTGCCTAAAACATCAAAAGGAATCGAGTCTATAACAATTGATACAAACCAATACAATGATTTTACGATGTATCTGGTACACCTATTTTGTGTAATAAAAACTGCTATTAAGAATATTCAAACCTGGGCTGTCAATTAGAAAGGCAGGTCTTCCGCTATACTTTTTATAATTTTATTGTTTAAAAACCGGACCAGACCAGCCAATTAGACCAATTAAAACCGTGACCTGGCCCAATGGCTGGTTCAGTCATATATTGAAAACCATGATTCATGAAAAATCAGCCAAAACCAGCTGAAAAACCAATTTAACTAAAAGACTGGTGAACCAGTCCTGGTTTTATGAAACTAATGGAGTCATAACATGGATTGAAACTTCAAAATGTTCATGGCTAGAAGCCTTTCTGTTTACATTTATTTGTGCCGCTTTAATGTACTTATTACTTTAATACACATATTTTAAAGAAAAATGCAAGTTAAGAGACTTGAACCCTAGTCATTTATTTTAAAAATTTAAAAACAGGACATCAATCCATCAAATGCAAGTGAATTAATATTTGTGAAATATATTATATGTAGTATTTATATAACCTATATATCCCAGTGTCTCTTAAAACTGCATTTCTGATACTCTTTTCATTTCAGATGATTTGAACATTTTGATTAGACACGTCAAACTCTATAGCCAGATCCTACAAACATGTAATATGATCAAATTACCCTTATTGCCTAAAAAAACATAAAAATAGATAAACATTCAGAAATTTGAAGTTTTGGCATCTTAATTAAAAGATGATGGTCTACTTGCATCAGCCAAAATTTCTATTTACATAATATCAACCTTTATGTTCCTATGCTTTTAAGTTAAACAATATAAACATCTTTTGCTATAACTCATGGGTGACTAATCCACCCATTGGATTTGAATCCCTTGGGGGATTAAATGTACAATCTGCTGCTGCACCGAATGAAGAACAAATTCTCTAGATACTGCAAATAAAGAACTTGGAGATATACACAGTGAAGAAAAAGAAAGAAAATAAACTGCCACTCTTAAGCTTTTGATGATGCAAGAACAGCTGGAAGTTGAAAAGGCAATAGCATCAAAGATTTCAGTTTACTCCTGCTTCATAAATTGAACTTAATTACTTTTACTATGAAATTCTAGAAAGAAAAGGATATATTTGCAGAACTAATCAATATAACCAAGAATGTAATGAAAAAAAGAGAGATATGGATACCGTAATACAGTCCACTTGGATATGCTCGATTTGTGTTGGTGCCCTATGTCATCTGCTAGCAATTTGCTGTGGACAAGTCTCTGGAACTTCAATGAGAACTCTTGGTATGACTGAACCTCTGATGGCTGTACTCGTGCAATTCCAGTCTTGAAATGTTCCATTGATATTTCTGAGGCATCCAAATTTTCCTGACAATTTTGAAATTTATGGATCAATAACTCAGTATTTCAAAAAATAGTGCACATAACTGTGATAGGAAGTCAACAGACATCAATGGCTGCAATGGCTGCTTCGCGACAGATTAATGATATATCTGCCCCAGTACATCCATCAGTGAGATGAGCAAGCTCCCTCATGCTAATATCGGAGCTGCAAGGCATTCTACGCATATGTATGCGGAATATATCTTCCCTGTCAATTTCATTTGGAGGTCCTACATACAACAGCCGATCAAAACGCCCTGTCCAAAATATCAATCAACAATTAGGCAGGTTGTCAACTTTAGGGACTTTTTTTCTCATTCTTTTAAGGTGTTTTTTTTGGGGGGGTGGGGGGTTGTTCTGGGTTACCTGGTCTTAGGAGGGCTGGATCAATTTTGTCTGGACGATTGGTAGCTGCGATAACAGTAACATCAACTCTTTCATGCAAGCCTGAAAAGAAAGAAAAAAAACTGTTTAGTTCATTAGGGACAAAATGTGACACAAATTATTAATCCTAAAAGATTTAATGCATCGGCATCTATCACATGAAGAGGAGAAATGTAAGTACTGGATTTTGATGCCTCCCATACAAATATGGCAATTAAACCCTTTTTCAAGAGTATCTCCCTGGAAACTGAGTTTTGACTTTCTTTCTTACTAATAAAGTTTCTTTAATCTTTGAAGTTTCTCCACATCTATCACACTATCAGCAAATTATAGTAAAATAAAATTCATAAAAAATATGTTGGCACAGTTTTTTTGATAAGCTTTGTCTATGCAGTTTTGCATGGAAATTAAAATACAAACATATAGAGTAGATAGACAGCTATGGCCTTACCATCCAACTCAACAAGGAGTTGGCTCATAACCCTATCAGCAACAGAAACTCTATCACTTTCCTGTCCGCGGATGATGGCAAGGCTGTCTATTTCATCAAAAAATATAATTGATGGAGCATTGGCCCTGGCTTTGGCAAACAGAGACCTTACAGCCTTCTCAGATTCACCAACCCATTTACTGAAAAGTTCTGGACCTTTCACAGCAAGGAAGTTCAGTCCTGCTTCAGAAGCTACTGCTCGGGCCATAAGGGTCTTGCTGCAACCTGGAGGACCAAACATCAACACCCCTGTGGGTGGGCGAGTGCCAATACGCTTGAAAGCATCCTGATACTTTTGGGGCCACTCTACTGCTTCCATGAGTTGTTTTTTAACCTCATTCTGACCCCCAACATCATCCCATCTAACCTTTGGAACTTCAAGTATAACCTGCCAATTAAGATACAAAATCATCAGGAATATTTCAATGTTCTCTTTGATACACCAGAAGGGAGTTGCATGATAGATTTGAGGCACATCAGGAGGGAGTTGCATGATAGATAAAAGGTACATCATCCTCTATGGATCCAATACCCCAAATATCACATTCAGTAACCAATTCATAAATCTGCACTGTCAAATCTGGTTGGTCAATCAGACAGAATGTAGTGTAAAACATCAGGTGGCCAAAACTATCTTGACCTTCTGGCTGAAAGACAGAATCTGGGGAGATAGATGAATAAGTATTACTTGGTCTGACATTCAAGTAGAGTGATCATCATTAACATCATATCTAAGCCTAATCCCAACTATATAGGTCAACTACATGAATCCTGTTTTGAAATTCCATTGTGTTTAGCAAGGTTCAAAGTATACCAGTTCCATTGAGAACTTTGAAAATTTAGGATTTCATTTCATTTTTACCAAGTTAGAAATTGTTGTCAGATTGTGGTTAATTATACCAGTTCCATCAAATATTTTTTCCAAAATAAATTATTAACAGAGAAATGCAAGTGTTAACAAGAATAATACCTCTCTCATGGCACTTGGTCTTACTTTCATCTTAGCTTTTTCAAAATCTGTAAAATCCACTTTAAGCAAAGATTCTTCCTGGACATCTGTACATTTTTGAACTGTTGACCTAAAGTCAGAAGATTGGTTAATCTCTGAAAAGACGGTCATATCTGAGAGCGAAGATGAACAATCTACAATATTGGTGGAAATTTGGGTCTGCATGGCTCCAGAGGGATCAGATCCTAACACTTTAGCATCTGAGCAATCACCAAATAAAAGACCTGTTTCCTTGCATTGAACATCATTCTCCGACACTGCAGATGAGTCACAAGATTTCTTGAACTTAACATAACGCCTGAGACAAATCAATGCTGCCTCATTGCAGAGTGCAGCCAGATCAGCACCAACAAAACCATGAGTTGTTGAGGCTAGATGTTGAATTTGCATATCTACAAGGGAGTGCTCCATTTCATTGAGAATAGTACGTAGAATATCCAGCCTCTGCTTAGGAGATGGAACACCTGAAAATTAACTTTTTAGTGAAGTGTTCTAATCCCACACCCAATAAAGGTTCTTGAAGAAGACAACTGACAAAGACAATTACACAGAGCCTTCATTTAATTTCATATTTCCTTTTTGAAAGTCTCATCATGCAAAAATAAAAAATTTTAGGGAAAATTTCTGATTAGTACCCTGTACTTTGGGCCTAGTGCCACCTTGGTCCCCAAACTTTAAAATGTACCCGAACTTTCAAAACGTGCCAATCCAGTACCTTCCGTTAACCAGTCCATTAACCAGCCATTAAGTGGCATTTGAAAAGACACAAATGCGCTTTTGAGTGTCATCTAGTTCTCTTTATCAACCATCCAAACAATGATAAAAAAAGTCCCAAATCCTTGCCTCTTCTATTCAAGAAAGTTGGGGTCACGTCTCAATGGGACTAGTCAATTTTTTTCCAATGTTTGGATGATTGATAAAGAAATTAGACGACACTCGAAGGGCATTTGTGTCTTTTCAAATGCCACTTAACAACAAGTACTGGATTGGCATGTTTTGAAAGTTTGGGTACTGAATTGTCGCGTTTTAAAGTTTGGGGACCATAGTGGCACTAGGCCCAAAGTACAGGGTAGTAATCAGGAATTTTCCCAAAATTTTATTAAGGTTACAAGAAAATCCTCAAGTTTGCTCTGTTTACTGTTTATTTTCAGTTGTAGAAGACAATCTTGTTTCTTAGACCAAATAGGCTTTAAGTCAATGTCTACATGCTCCATGGCAATGCAACACGGGTTGAAAATTACTTTATGGTAAGAAAGGCAAGGAACCAGCATGGAGTCCTGTGGAATAGCAGACAAACCAACTCCTCAAAACGCATCATGGAACATGTTCCTAATCTCCTATAGTTTATAGTAAACTTAAAAATCAATGACAATATGAACACCGATTTATTTATTTCATAACAATCTTTTATATTTACTTCTATAAACTCTCTTATCTTTCTCCAAGCAATCTTTCATAACAATCTTATCTTTCTCCAAGAAAGTTGGGGTCACGTCTCAGTGGGACTAGTCAATTTTTTTCCAACGTTTGGATGATTGATAAAGAAATTAGATGACACTCGAAGGGCATTTGTGTCTTTTCAAATGCCACTTAACGACAGGTACTGGATTGGCATGTTTTGAAAGTTTGGGTACTGAATTGTCGCGTTTTAAAGCTTGGGGACCATAGTGGCACTAGGCCCAAAGTACAGGGCAGTAATCGGGAATTTTCCCAAAATTTTATTAAGGTTACAAGAAAATCCTCAAATTTGCTCTGTTTACTGTTTATTTTCAGTTGTAGATGACAATCTTGTTTCTTAGACCAAATAGGCTTTAAGTCAATGTCTACATGCTCCATGGTAATGCAACACGGGTTGAAAATTACTTTATGGTAAGAAAGGCAAGGAACCAGCATGGAGTCCTATGGAATAGCAGACAAACCAACTCCACAAAACGCATCATGGAACATGTTCCTAATCTCCCATAGTTTATAGTAAACTTAAAAATCAAGGACAATATGAACACTGATTTATTTATTTCATAACAAACTTTTATATTTACTTCTATAAACTCTCTTATCTTTCTCCAAGCAATTTTATTTTTACAACTGTGCCCAAAACATACTTCCTATCCCCACCCATTGCTTTCCCAAAGCATTTGCAAAGGAATTAACATTCTTTTAACCCATTGTGTTCTCACTTCCATATCATTTGTCAACCATTTAAACTTCTCATTGTTGTAATTTCATATCCATTCCTTCATTTTGTAACCACCTTATTACCAGTTCTTATTCTCCTTCAATGGTTACTTTCCCAGTGTTCAAGAGCCTTGTTGTACTTCTTCCATCATTGCCATGACCTCAGCCCTAAGAGAATCCCCTTCACCTGTTGGGCCTTAATATAGAGCAATTATCTTTCCCTCTTGACAGATCAGGGTTTCCAGCACTACTTCCATCAAAGTTGAGTTTAATGAACCCTGTATTCGGTGGAGACCATAAAGGAGTTGTGATACTCTTATTGTGGGATGAGTCAGCCACTTCCAGTTTCTAAATATCATATCATCTACTGTAATGGATGAGAATGTTTCCAGTGACTTCAACCAGTGGACCAGTCTAATCATAATACACTCAATTAGAGCCTCCTTGCTTCTCTCCTTTTCAAAGAAAATTCTTGAGTTCCTATACTCCCATATTCTCTAAAGCATTGTCGTCCTTACACATCTCAACATGAGTCTCCCCCCTTATCTTTGGCCATGCAAAGGTGGTTGTATAAAAGAGGTTCTGAGTCTTCCCCTTTACTTTAGCCATGCAAGGGTTGTTGTAGCAAAGAGGTTAGGAACATCAGCCAGGAGATTCCACCTGAACCTAAACAAAGAGAAAAACCATTCCAAAATTTAGACAACAAAAGGACAGGATATTAGTAAATGGTAGCAATTTTCACCATCAGCCTTATATAGAATGCAATCAATGCACCAATTTGGTCTCTTTCTTTGGAGCATATCACAGGTATCTACTTAAGGACAACTTCCTAAAAAAAGCCACAATCCAATGTGGGGCAGGCTTATACCATACCTCTTTAGCAGGGAAAGGGCTTAAAAAGTTAGTTGAAGGTTGAGATAGGGCTTTAAAACATGAGGCACAGGAAAACAAACCCAAGGAAGAGCAAGTCCAAATCCGGTCATCAGATTTGGAAGGATCAAGGGATACTTCTTCAAAGGTTTGAATTAAGGTAAGCACATTAGGAATATTGGAATCCCTTATTCCCCTTCAAAAGCTAAAATCCCAATTAAAACCATTTCGCGAGTTCAAAGGAACCAGAAATTTAGAGATCGGTTCATATGCAAATAGGACAGAGAAGATAAAGAGGGAAATTGGTCCTTTGAGGGGAGGCTCCCAGGAAAACATGTTCCCAAAATTTGATACAATCCCCACAATAGAGATCATACTTAACAAAGGGGAGAAATAACGGTAGCACTGCATGGATGACCTTCAACAAAGAAGCACAAGTTCCCCAACCAATACTCCAGCATCCCACCCATTGTCCAAGAACCCATGAATACTAACAATCACTTTTGACTATAACCACTTTTCCAACAAAGCTAAGTTCCTCCTTTGGATGTTCCCCAACCCTATACCCCCTAGATTTTTACTTTTGTTAACCACTTCCCAACCAATCCTATGATCCCTCTTTTCTTTCCCTAGTTCCCACAAAAAATCTCTCATCAACTTCTCCAATTTTGACTAACACCTTCTAGGATCCTAAAAATTGACAAATAATACACTAGAAGGCTTGCTAGGATTGATCTAATTAAGGTAATCCTATCCCCTAGAGATAAGTGCCCCTTTTTCCAGCAAACAAGCATTTTAAAGCAATGTTTTAAAAATCGTAATTGTATCATAAATCATAAGATTATTTCTATTTTTACAAACTTGTCAATAAAATTAAATATAGATATATTAAAAGGATCTATATATATATATATATAGGAAAGTGATTTTACCCTATTTTAGTCCATGTATGATATATATGTACATAAAACAATAGAATTTACCACTTATACAATAGAAGCCCACGACAATAATATCATACAATCAAGTTTGACTATTTAACCTGTATATGATGCAAAATAAAGTCAATGTTGGTCTTAAGTAATGCAAACAAATCATTTTCTTAAGGGCTTTAAAACAAGTCTCCCATGACAAAACTAAATATAAACAAAAAATGACAAAGTAAAAAACTATTTCTTAATTGAATTTATTTGAATTGCAATGAATCAAAGGAATCATAGGATTCAATAAAAAATTGTAAGATTTTTGCAGAAAAGGATTCAGACATAAGATTCAAATTGAAACCCTTGGGATTTTTTTATCAATAACTTCAGATTTCATTAAGACCATAAACAACAAGGGGGAGAGCTAAAAGCTCTTAACTCTCCCGAAAGATAAAAAAGAATTTACAATTGAACCTCAAGCAATTGATTTCCTCCCACCCCTTGTTTTGCCAAAGCATTAGCTAAACCATTGGCAATTCTTTTTACCCAACTAGGGGTGGCAACGAGCCGAGCTTTTCACGAGCTGCTTGATCTCGGCTCGTGAAAAGCTCGGCTCGGCTTAGTTTCAACTGAGCTCGAGCCCAATTAAATGGCTTGATTATTAAACGAGCCAAGCTCGAGCCTACTAGAGCTCGGCTCGTGAGGCTCACGAGCCGGC